AGACGAGGGTTGGCAAGGCTGTGGAGAAACTGGAACACTTGTACACTGCTGGTGGGAATGCAAAATGGTGCGGCTGCTCTGGAAAATAGTATGAAGCTTCCTCAAAAAACTAAAAATAGAATTGCCATAGGATCCAGCAATCCCACTTCTGGGTATTTGTCCAAAAGAACTGAAATCAGGATCTCAAAGAAATATTAGCACTCCCATGTTCACTGCAGCACTATTCGCAATAGCCAAGATGTGCAAACAACCTAACTGTCCGTTAACAGATGAACTGATAACGAAAATTTGGTAGAAACATACAATGGACTATCCTTCAGTTTTTAAAAAGGAATCCTTCAATATGCAACAACATGAATGAATCTCGAGGACGTTATGCTGAGTGAAATAAGCCAGTCCCAGCCAAACAAATGCTGCCTGATTCCACTTACATGAGGTAGCCCAAATAGTCAGCCTCGGGGCATCAGAGAGGGGAATGGTGGTTGCTGGAGGCTGGCAGAGAAGGGGAGTTACGAAATCACTAACCAATGGGCATAACGTTTCAGTGGAGCAGGATGAATAAACCCTACAGATCGGCTGCACGGCATTGTGCCTATGTTCAGCAATAGATATTGTACACTAAAAAAATGTATTAAGAAGGTAGATGGTTAAGTATTCTTTCCACAGTAAAATAAACTTAATTTAAAAAAAAAAAATTTTAAAGAAAAAACTGGGAATGGGCGCCTGGGTGGCTCGGACGGGTAAGTGTCTGCCTTTGGCTCAGGTCATGATCCCCGGGTCCCTGGATGGAGCCCCGCTCAGCAGGGAGCCTGCTTCTCCCTCTCCCTCTGCCCCACCCCCCCTGCTTGTGTGCTCTCTCACTCTCTCAATTAAATTTTTAAAATCTTTAAAAAAAAAAAAAAGAAGAAAGAAAAATGGGAAGGGGAAAAAAAAAAACTTCACTTCCATTGTGCCCAGCAAAGGGGTAAAGGGGGGCTTGGCTTCCCCCTAAATGGCTGCTGCTTAGAGACACCATGTTCTCCCTCTCTCCCCCCGCTGAATATCACCCCACCACCCCCATCTTCTCCCCTGTGATGCTTCCTGTACAAAGACAATGGCAAAGTGGGTCTCATCCAGAGTCAGTCCCAGTGATGCCAATAGAAAATTCAGGATTGGGAGCAGTTGGAGAGAGAAGAGATAAACATTTAGAATGATTTTTAAAACATCCCAGTAGCCCGACCCAAGGACTGCTTTCATATGTCTGTCTCCAGTTATCATCCCACCTCTAAAAGGGGGCTAATGACACTGTTAGGATTTAAAGCTATTAAGTAAATTAAGGCCAAGTGCTGGATTGCTGAGTTTTATATGGGACTGCTGAGTTTGAGATCAATGCTGGGGGAAAAAAAAAAAAAAAAACGAGAAAGGAAAGATTCTAAAGAGGCCAACTAAAACAGTGAAGCAAGCCTATGGCAGTTGGCGTGGAGAATTCCTGAAGACTCTAGAACTTCCAGGTGCCAAAAGCAGGGACTAATAAAAAGGCTGAACAGTTAGAGGCCAGAAGCCTTCAAATTTGAATGAAGTAGACCAGTCACTCTCAAAAGTCAGTATTCAGAAGTAATTCCCCTGAGGAGCTCTCAAAAAAAATGCAGGTTCCTGGGTCTGCTCCCCGTGGTTCTGATGCAGGAGGTCTGGTATGAGGCCCGGGAATCACATTTTAATAAGCATCTCAGTTCTCTCTGTGCAAAAAGCACAGGCCCAGGGGCGCCTGAGTGGCTCAGTCGTTGAGCGTCTGCCTTCGGCTCAGGTCATGATCCCAGGGTCCTGGGATCGAGCCCCGCATCGGGCTCCCTGCTTGGCGGGAGGCCTGCTTCTCCCTCTCCCACTCCCCCTGCTTGTGTTCCTGCTCTCTCTCTCTGTGTCAGATAAATAAATAAAAATCTTTAAAATAAAAAAAAAAAAGCACAGGCCCACACTTTGACAAACACTGACGGCCTTCCCCATGAAGTCATGTTCAGTCGCTCTGTGGATAATGAACACTTTTCTTTGGCAAGACGTTGGAACAGAAGAAACAGCACTTTTATCCTCAAGCTTGGTAAACGTTCAGGATAATTAATAGGGACTGGTTACGTGCTGGAAAATGAAGTATTCATGTACACACACACCACAGATTGGGTAAAAAAATAAATTATGTTCAGATGATTTAGTATTTCTCTGAGATGGAATAAATTCGATGGCTCCGTGAAAGGCAACAGGCAAACTATCTATCACCTGAAGTTAGCAGCTAAGATAATATTTCAACCACCCATCTTGAAAGGGATGCTTGGACCAAGAACATAATAGGACAACTACATTTAGGAATATAAACCAGGAAGGGTTAAACACAATCGCATCTGAAAGATAGTTATTACTACTCCACGTATAAGCCCAGGAAGAGGTGGTGGGGTACAAGGTGGCCTAATATTTTCATAAATAACTCAAAAGATGGAGTGGGGATTATGCAAATCAAACCATAGACAACACAACAATGGCAGGGATTGCAAATCTGCAGAGGATGAAATTCAACTACGGGGCAATGTCTTTAAATTTGCCTTTATTGAATCTTGTATATTGAAGTCACATATTATTGTATCTCTTTATTGAGACTCAATAGGGCTAAACGCGGAGTGATTTATGGAAGAAGGAATAATCAAATGCATTAAGTAGAAAGGAGCACGCACCTGGCGAGGAGGCATGGGGTCAGGACAGGCCCTGCATGGGAAGTCGTGGGCATGGTGCACAGGGCAAGGGGTGGGCCAAGTACTTCTGTTCTCTACAGACACGGGCTGTTATTAAGAGCCAATGTCTAAAATAAACAAGGAAATGTGTCTGTTACTCTTGGAGCTACTTGGCCTTGGTGTTACTTCCAGTGGGAGTGCTGAGCTTAAATGTAAACCTGGAAGGGAATTTAGAGCAGGCCATCACAGAGGTTATGGGATGTGGCCCTAGATAAACCAAGAATACAAGGGGACGTGAAAAGCATCTCCAAAATAGACAAAATACTCAGTGCCCATTTGTTGGGAAAAGATGCGCAAAAGATAAGGAGGCCTGTAGGAGAAAAAAAAAATGTAGCTCCTATTAAGGAAAAACAATCCTTCAGAGCACAGTTGGAATCATGGAAGAAAGGGTAGCTTATGGTAACACCATCCCTGGGGACACTCAAGGAGGTGACCAGACACCTCTCTACTTAGGATGCATTAGAGATTATTAAAAGCATTCCTTGCTCAGTTCGGGGGTGGAGGGTGGGCCTCATGACCTCTCCAAAGGTCATCCCTATCCCAAAGGATCACATGTCTGAAGGGCACCAGATAAAAATAAAGTCTATTAATCACCAAGCTGCCACATAATTTCCTACAAGAGCCAGAAGAGACAAGGGCAATCTACGGTGGACCCTGGTCCCCTGAGGGAGGAGAACAGAGGCAGCGGCTGTGTGGGCAGAGCCAAGGAATCAGCTGCTGAGACTTCCAGAAAGCCAACATCAGGCCTTCGTGTAGGCCTCCCGAGCATCATAGGGTAAACAGAAGGAGGAAGAGACCGTGGGGACAGGGACAGGAAAAGAGCCAATGGTCCTAAGAGCCCCTAATCACAGCCACAGGAACTGCGGGGGAGAGCGTGATGCAAGCACTTGGCGCAGCAAGAGGGGAGCCAGGCAAGAGAGGGACACCCACAGAGGGTGCTCCGTGGAGGTGACAGGTGAGGAGGCAGACAGCAGACAAAGGAGTGAAGAGAGGAACTGAGAGGTGGGTGAAGAAGGGCACGTGAGGTTATGTCTGGGAATATATGGGATTATTGGCTGCAAATCCCATGAAAATTGAAGAGATGGAACAAAAAGCAATCCCACTAGCTATGGAAGCAGAAAATCACATCACAAAAATAAAGCTCTTTAAAAGAGGAATCGAATGGCAATGCCCCGGTCCCAAAGCAGCTGTTGGCTTTCTTGAGGGCTGGGCTTCTCCAGCCATACACAGCTGGAAAGCCTGCTCCGAGGGGGTCAGAAGGACCCTTCCCAGCCCAGAACCAGTCCCCAGAGGGCTCACACAGCTAGGGCTTCTGTGCAACCAAACAAAACAGAGGCCCTTCCGGGAGGGCAAGACCCAGGCCAAAGCAGGCACCTCCTGACATCACCAAGAGACACCAGACCCCATGCCCTGCTCCCTCCTCATCCTGGAACAGAACCGCTGTGGGATGGAGATGTTACCTGCAAGAGTTGTCTCAGGAATGCCATCTGCACGGTGTATTAAGCAGCCAAATGGGGGTCATGGAGTTTGAGTTCTTCTAGCAAAATGTTCTCCAACCAGCTGTCACCCCACCGGGCACAGAATAACTTTTTGAAATCAAAAGAGGCCAGTGAAGAGGGAGGAAAAGGGCACCACCCCCGATGTGCTCCCTGAGCCCCATCTCCCCCACTCGCCCTCTGCTTCCACAGAGACCGCACACATTGCCAGATGCCGGCAGAAGGAACCTCAGTGCCAGGGCCCTGCCTGAGCCCCCTCGCTGCCCTTCTCCCGTGGCCCAGCTCTGCATCCTCGGAGGGGAGAAGACACGAGGGGAAGATGGTCAGGGAGTGTGGTTTCTAGGGCGGTCCCTGCTGTGGAATGAGCAGATGGCGCCCCATACAGTGAGAGATAATTAGGGCAAGGATTTTCAACCCACCACCCAATGCTCTGGTAGGTGAGAAAGACAACAGCGTCTGAGCTGATAGCAATCCCTCCGAAAGCTGAAGGTTCTGGAGCTACACCCACTGGCCCTGCTCCCTGCCCCACTCTCCAGCTCCTCCCTCCCCAGCTCTGTCCGCACCACCTAGACCCAGGAGCCAGGCAGTCCTTGTCCAAGAGATGCCTCTGAAGCAAGCAAGAAAGGCTGGAGATGGATCGAGGGCCATTTATTAAGCTAAGTCAGAGAAAGATTCCTAACTTGCCCTACCTAGGACAGGAGAGAGAGAGGGAAATGAAAGGGAAACATGAAAAGCGAGAGGAGCCAAGTACCTTTGTCGGAGGATTTTGAGTTATGCTTTTGTTTGTAACTCTCTGAAACAGAGAAAGAAATAGAGGATGAATCTTCAGGAGACAGACAGAGAGAGAGAGAGAGAGAGAGAGCCAGGAGAAAGCCACCGAGGAGGAGCTGCCGGAGACAGGAGGCTGGCACCAAAGGCAGAAGGCCTCCCTGGCTGCCCCCCCCCTCCCCCCCGCCATGCACAAACACCTGGGTGGGCGAGGGGCGGTGGTGGCAGCAACAGGAGATGGTGCCTTCGCTGAGGCGGCAGGCATGCGAGTTGGGGCGCAGGCCCAAGAGGAGGAGCCAGTGAGCCTGGGGCTGGGGGCGCGACAGCCAGGGAAGCACAGGGAAGGGAGTGCTGGGGGCAGAGGCAGGGGCAGGAAGGCGGCACCTGCCGTACTTACTGTCACAGACGTAAGGTTTGTCATGGTCTTCCTGAGAGGCAGCGTCGTGCCTCCTCCTGCCACCTGCCGAGCCACGGGCCTGGGGAGACAAGGAAGCAGGATGCTTGTTATGGTGAGGGCCACTGCGGCTCCTGACCGTACTCTGTGAGGCCCCGAGCACTTCACCTACATCTCTTCATCCGGCCTTCCTCACAGCCTTTGAACCAATAACCAACCCCATTTTACAGGCCTGGAAACTGAGGCCCAGAGAGGTCAGGTAACTTGCTCCAGAGCACTCAGCTACTCACCCACATCATCTCATTAAATGTTCACAACTCCAAGAGAGGTATTACTGTTATTTCCATTTTACAGATCAGGAGACTGAGGCAACAGCAGTCTTGCCCAGGGTCACTCCACTACTAAGTGCAGAGCCAGGACGTAAACTCACAACAGTCTGACTGCAAAGCCTACATCTACCCAATCCCTGTACTCTATGGTTATCACACGGACCTCCTCCTCCAGCTGCTTAGCCACCTAGCTTCACTGACCCCACATGGAGAAGCTCACCCTGCTCCCCTCAGCTGACCGGATGATGGCAGACTGGAGCAACCATCACCCCGGGCTCTCGCCCCAGGCTCACACTGTCCCCTTCAAGTCTCTCAAGGGCCAGCCAGGCCTGGCATCCAGGCTAGGGCACGAGCCCAGGCACGGCAGGGAGCACCCCCCACCCCTCTCCCCCGCTCCTCCTGGGGTGAGCTTCAGCTGAGGCCTCCCGCCAGTGACAAAGGCCTTGACACCTCACAGTCTCGGGGGGCCTGACTCTTGATCCCACCACCCTGCGTGCATCTCCAGAAAGAGCCAGCATAACCTGGGGTGGGGGTGGGAGGAGTTCCACCTCCCAGGATAGAGGAGGACAGTCAGAGAGGGTGCTGGCAGCTCTGCAGGCCCGGGACAATGGCTACAAGAAGGGGGCAAGGTTTATTTTTAAACCTTTGTAAGTCCCACATGGTCACGTGTGTAGCACCCTGGCCTCCTCCAGGTCATTCTCTGGTAATGAGTAGCAGTAAAATCCCAACCAGGGAAAGGGCCTGCTGAGGTCTTTGGGGACAGAGAAGGAGTCACAGAGGTGAGAACTAAAACGTGGCGGCCGCCTGGGGTGCGGCCACCACGTTTTAGTTCTTTCACCTGCTTTTTAGTTCTTTCACTTGCTTTCACCTGCTGCAGGTGAAAGCAAGGGCCACTTGTCCAGGGGCTGGGCCTGGACAAGTGGCCCTGGAGACTTCAGGGCCAAAAGGCCTGTGATGCTGACACGCACGCACACGCACTCACTGGGGATTTCACAGCGGAAAGGCCTGTACACCAGGCCCGCGATGTTCACACGCTCTCACCAAACACGCACTCTTCACAATCAACACCACCTGCCAAGCTACCACCTCCACCACCTCCTCAGCTTGTCTCTCTCCAAAACAATTTACAAACTTCCACCTCCCTCCCACCGCTTCGCCTCTCTGCCCCCCCACCCCCCAGCCGAGCCCGCCACAGCCTGCAGCCCCGCCCCCGCCCCCGCCCTCGGTGCTCGGAGTTGACCCGAAGGGGGAGCCGAGAGACGCTGCGGTCCCCCCGCGGGCACTAACAGGCCTCCCCGCCTGCCCACGACGACTACGACGACAGACGGGGAGGGTGGTCACCCTCCGCTGCCCTCCCCCCCCCTCACGCCCCGTGGTGAAGCCAGGGACAGCTTGACGTGTGCAGCCCGCAGCCGTGTCACAGCCGCCTGCAGCAGGTGAAAGCAAGTCAAGCAGAATGACGAGCCAACAGCAGACGCGGGGAAGGGGCACTGAGAGACTAAAAATACCGCCTGGGATAAGAGGAGAAGCCCTGGAAGCACGCAGTCCTGGGGGAGCCGCCAGCGGGAGGGGGAGGGCCGGGCTGAGAGCCAGGGTTGGATTGCACTCTGCAGGGCTGACCAGCCCAGTCACTTCCACACTGTCCCTGCACCTTGGTTTCCTCAACTGCAAAATGGGCACACGCAAGGGACTCTTCCTGCGGCAGTGGCACTCTAGTCTCCGGGAATCGCTCAGACTTGGAAACTCAGAATCCCGCTAGTTTGCTCAGACATCACCTCCTCAGAGAAGCCCTCCCTGACCAGCCTAGATCCCCTCATACCCTCTCCATCGTTCTCTTTCCCTTGCCCGGCTTTGTGTTTGGTCCCAGCACTTAGCATGGTCTGACATTATATCATACATGTTATTGGTGTACTTGTTGATCTTCTGTCTCCCTAACAAGGGGTGGAAAACGTGTACTTGAGCCACACTATATTCAGAACCTGGTACGGGGCCTGCCCCTTAAGACACACTTAGTAAACCTTGGCTGAATCAATTGGTCCATCGGTCGGTCAGCGAGTCCGTCATCTTTGGTTCTTCTCCTTCATTCTTTACAGCCAAGCGCTGTTGTTTCTTCCTTCAAAGCCCATCTGAGGCTTTGCATTTTCCTTCTGTTCCACATTTTAATCCATTGACCCTGGGTTGCTTGAAGAACCCACCAGCTGGGGTTCTACCTCTGCACGGCCCTTCCCAATCCACCCTGCATGACTCCCAGATCAATTAGACCAAGGGAGTGAAGGACAGAGCCCATGGTCGTTCACTCATTCATTTATTGCCATCTAAAACCCACTGACACATCCAACAGCAACCTAGTGCCTGTCCCATCAGGTTCCCCTCATGCTCATGCTATGATCCCTGTCATGGACCAGCCTCTCCTCTGCCATCCACGCTGGTGCATGCTTTAACCCCCCCCCCCCCACTAAAATCCCACTCCTCCAAGAGCTTTCCCCTTGCCATATTGAGGAGTAAAAAGAGCACAGCTTTAAATTCAGACAGGCATAGGTTTAACCACCAGCCACGTGTCTGTAGACAAGTTACTTCTCTTAAGTTTTCATTTTCTCAACTGTAAAATGGGCACAGCAACACCTTTAGTGCAGAGTTGCTGAGAGGGTTCGCGCTCAGAGTGTGTGAAACCACAGGGGAGAGCGCCACATCCACAGGAAGTGCTCGATAAATTACTTCCCCTTCTTGCCCAAGCTGATCTCTTCTCTCTCCTCTGAACTTTTATTGCATTCAGTTAGTGCACAGGCAGAAGCCTGCTGTTTTCTAATTGTATCATGGCCATTCGCATTTTCTCCTCAATTTAATCCCAAGGTCCTTAAGAGCAAAGATGGCATTTCATATTTTATTATGAACGCCCAACACTTAGATCTATGTTGGGCACATAGCATCCCAAGCTCTCACATGTATTAGTTCAGCTCATCCCTACCATACACCGTGAGTTACAGAAAGTAATAGTATTCCCATTTGGCCCTTGATGAGACAGGCTCTAAGGAGGTTTCTGACTTACCCACAGTCACAGAGTCAGTAGAAGGAGCAGGACCTAAGTTTCCAGACTCTATTCTGTAAAACTTTGAAGCTGACTGTCCAAAAGAAACCAGTCCTCCCTCTCTGAGAATTGTCCACCCCACTCCACTCCTCCCACCCCACCCCACCTCACCTATTCAGACACTAGTAAGCCAAGACACCCTTGATTATATACCACGTAGCCTGGCCCCACTGGCCACAATTGATTGGCTGGCTCAAAAGTGGTCACATGACCTAGGCTGGGCCAATCAGATTCTGCCTCCAAAGCACTTGGACTTGGGGCAATGACTCCAGTGAGTACGGGCACTTGAGCTGGGAACCCATAAATGCAGGAACTATGGAGCCAAGGGCACAGAGACGCAGGCAATACAGTCTTCTGATAGAAAAATAAAGAAGGAAGAAGTAGAGGCCACGAGCCGCCAAGGTTCCTTATTCTATCCCAGTCCTAAGTCCCTGTCTGCCGTTTTCTTGCCCTTCCTGAAGGTTGAAACTTCAAAGATTGTACCGAATTGGGGCAATGACCCAGCAGCTTTTCAGATACTCCCCATTTTTGCTGAAGTGTTGAGTTTCTTGCAATTAAAAGACTCTTGACTCAGGCTCAGAGAGCTAGTTCCTGTATAAGAGTTGTTCTCAAGTAATGGCCCAGGGATCCCCAGGGATCCTTGAGACCCTTTCAGGGGGTCTGCATCACAGTACTAAATAGTAATAGAATGTTACTCGAAACTTTACACTTTCATTCTCTCACAAGTACACGGTGGAGTTTTCCAGAGGCTACCTGACATGATGATGTCATCACTCTGTGTGCTGGTGTATTCTGAAGATTAACATTTCTTTCTGCTTTAATTTCTAATATGGTAAGTGTCACTAGTTATAATCCACCAGAACAATAGCTTTTTTGGGGGGCCTCTCTCAGTAATTTTTAAGAAAATAATTCCTGAGACCAAAAAGAAAACCCCTGAGAGCCATAGCTCCCTATCCTTGCTCTTTAGAATGTGGCCCTCAGACCAGCAGTGTTGGAATCACCTGGGAGCTTGTTAACCAGACAAACTCTCAGTCCTCCCCCCAACCCCCAGACCCACTGCATTAGAATTTGCACTTTAACAAAATCACCATGTGCTTCACATGCACATTACACTTTGAGAAGCACTGGACTGCACCAGAGTGCATCAATAAATAGTTCCTGATTGATTGACTGATTGATAATGCTCACATGGATGACTTCCAGGAATTTCATGAATTTTAAAGAGCTTGGATTCCTTGGGCTAAAGTTAGCATAGACACAATTATTAATTGTTGGGTCTGAATTGCCCTCACCCCTCAGGGTATGGCCACTGTCAAAACTCCAAGAGCTGTTCCCTTTGCAACCTCTGAACGATGTTTAGCCTTTACTAAACACTCAGAATTGGCTGGGTATTATTACTCCCATTTTCATGATGAAAAACTGAGGCCCAGAATATTGCTATAATTTGATCAAGATGATGCAGTTACATAATTCCCCCAAAGTCTAGTAAATAGTGGAACTGGGATGTGAACTCATGGTTCAAACAGGGCAGAGGCTGTTCTTAGAATTACTGCCTTACCCCTGGCTTCTTCAATGAGTGCACAAAGCACCTGGGGGTCTTGTCAAAGTACAGACTCTAATTTGGTAATTTGGTCCATCTAGGGTGGAGTCCAGGGCCCTGTGTGTCTGACAAGCTCCCGGGTGATCCTGAGGCTGCGGTCCAGGGACCACACATTGAGGTGCTTCCTGTCAGTCCTGACAACAGAAATGCTCTCCAGGAACCAGAAGCAGCCTGAACACACCACTTAAAAGGGTAGCTTAATTGAGGCTATGGGTAAAGCAGCTTCATGCCTGTATTCCAGCACAGGCAGGCCCACTCACGCCCTTCTAGATCATCCCATGGCTCCCACCATGGATGACATGTCCACAGTGTCACTACCCAACTTAGAGCCATTCAACTGGCCCTTGGCCAGCATCAGGTAGGCCCTGAGCTAGTCTAAGCTCCATCCAGCTCCCTCACTGCGTTCAGGCCTTCTCTCAACTCCCACAAAGTTGAAATATAGCTTTTCTTTATTTCCCAACACAGTCATTCATTCAACAAGCTGGTCTTTAGCCCATGATGGGCACTGGGCCAGGCATGACTCCATGACAAAAGCACAGACCTGCATTCGAATCCTGAGTTCTTTACTAGGTTAGATGACCTTGAGCAAGTTACGTAATCTCTCTGGGAGTAATAATACCAATGTATGGGAATGAAACAAGAAGTGCTGGCCACAGAAACATAACGCGAGCCACACACATCATTTTAAATTTTCTAGTAACCACATTTTTCAAAAAGATAAAAAGAGAAACAGGTACAATGAATGTTAATAATATAGTTTATTCAACCCAATGTATTCAAACTATTATCATTTCAGTACATAATCAATATAAAAAACATTAATGAGATGCTTTGCATTCTTTTCATACTAAGTCTTTGAAATCTGGTGTGTATTTTACCTTTACAGCACATTATAATTTGACCTGGCAAAATTTTTAGTGCTTGGTTCACCACATGTGGCTAGTGGCTGCCAAAGGAACAGGGCAGAAATCGAGAGTGCAGGACAAAGTACATAGTCGTCACCCTTGACGTGTAGCTCTTATTGTAAAGAGCCCCAGCACGTGGCCTGGTGTCCAGTCAGTACACAGTGAGTACCACTGCTGTGTTCTTACAGAGGAGACACCTAGCTCACATCCATGCACTGCCGAGTTCAATCATCTAGATTGAGGTTGGGAGTGGAGAAGATGTAAAGAGGACCATTCTCCAAAATCTACCTGAGTAACTTTGGTTTGCGCTGAGGGACGGGATGGAAGCAGGCCTGGAGGCACACTGCTCTTGAGTTCACAAAAGGCCCAGAAATTCTAAAACCTCCTGCAATGATGTAATTAGATATTCATTATTTTGTGGGCCCCAGTGAAGTCATGAGTCTAGGCATTATCAACGGCTGCTGAAACAGCTAGATGAAAACTTGATGGGGAACCTTTTAAGGAGAGATCAGGCTAACAACACCTGAATCCACTGACCCATTGCCCCCACCCCACCCCGAGAACAGAACAGCTGGACAACATGTACCTCCTGATGTGATGCAGTAAGAGGCACAGAAAAGGTCCTTGCCTCCCCCAAAAAATATTTACACATATGAACAAATAGCCTGAGTCTAATCAAGTCTCTAATCAAACCACCAGTTTCCAGAAAATAAAGAGGATACATTAAATACCACCCATCCACCAAATCTAGAATGTCGGGAATTCTGCAAGACAAACCACCCAAGTTCTTCAACAGATAAATAGCATGGAGAAAAAAACATGTGTGTGCATGGTGGAGTAGAGCAGGGAAGAGGTATGCCCTAGAATAAAAGAGGCTTAAGTTTCAAACAAGCCAACTGTAAAAAGGCATTTTTGAGAAAATCCAGGGAAATCATCAGGGACTGGAGAGTAGATATTAGAAGAGCTGTTGTTTTTATTGGTTGTAATAATGCTATTTGTTAGAGATTGAGGTATGTGCAGGTTAAATGATAAAATGTCTAGGACTTCCCTTCAGATATTCTCCCAAGAACTGAATATACAAACCAACAAAAAGTGGGAGTAAAGAACAAATAAGACAAGCTCATCGCTGAAGCTGGCTGGCCACTATAAGAGGCATGAAGCGTCAGAGGGCTGCCCTGCCCAGCCTGAGAAATGCCAGCCCCTGCCAACAAGTCAGAGCATCCGAGCTCAATGTGGGCAGCACTGCACCACTTACACCAATCACCTGGTTATTTGCTTATAATTACAGCTTTCTGGACCCTACCCTAGACCTCCTAAATCAGAACTTCTGGGAGTGGGTCCTGGGAATCTGCATTTCAACACGCTCTCCTGGTGATTCTGATGGATACTTAAGTACAAGCAGCACAGGAATGGAGAGGCGGGTCACAATTAGCCCTGGACCCAAACCTGCAAGGCACCCATGGAGAAGAGGGGTAAAGGTCCTGCCTAGAGCCTGAAGGAGCCAGAAGGCCCAATCCTAATTCTCTAGACGCCAAGCGAGCGTACCCCTGGAGGTCCCTCTCCACCTCATTATTGTCAGATGCCCTTGCAGACCCCTGAGGGTGGCCACCAAAAGCCCCTTGGGCTTGGACATGAGGACTCTGGAGGAGCAACCCGCATGCCTCAGAGCACTGCTCAGGCTTGGGTCCCTCCCCTCAAGGCCCGCTCCCATAAGTTGTATAACTTCCACCATGGATTTCCCCTTGGCCACACCCCAGGCTTCTGGCCTCCTCTTGCCACATCCGGAGCCCACACCAAAAACCCATGCCCTACCCACTTGGAAACCATTAGCTATGGCCCCCACACTCTCCCAGAGTGATCCTACTCTCTGCCTAGTGAAGCACACCCCAAAGCAGGTCTTTCTGGGGCAGCCCCAGGGACAGGAAAATGCAGCCTTCTTTCAAGACCAAGTAATGGGTACAACAGTCACATTCTCCTCCTCCCCCACCCTCCCTGGACCCCCACCGCAACCCTCCCAGGACCCTCACTGTCCCCTCAGGGCACCCTTTCCCTCTTCTTCTCCCTCTGGCCAGCTCTAAACTCTTACAGGCTATCGCCTGGGACCAGAGCTCTTCTGGAGTTCTTCCTTTCTGAGTATTCTTCAAGGGAGACCATGAATATGAGAGGTCATGCGGTGGGACTTGGGGTCTGGGGCCCAATTGTTCTCCCAGCCTCAGCCTCCTTTAACTCTTCCCTCCCTCATGGCATCCCCGGCTTACCCGTCCTCTGGTCCTATTCTTGCGCTTGGGGATATCTTCTTCTAAATCTTCTTCTTCATTTCCTTCTTCTACATTTTCATCATTTTCCAAAACCCTCTGAAATGACAAGAAAATAAACAGAGGGGTTGAGAAATAAAATGCAAAGGAAGAAGCCGTCAGAAGGTAATTTGAGGGAGGGATGGGAAGTCTGTTTTGTTGTTGTGTTTTAACAAAGTGAAGACCATTGCTGGGGAAGCAGAGCCTCCAAAAGGCTGCCCAGAGTCCGAGCTCTTGGCGGTAACAAGCCTCTCAAACCCCTGGGTCCCGTCCAGCCTGATCCTCCCAGAACACTGACTTTTTTCAACTCTTTTTACCCAAAAAAACATTTTCTAAGAAGAGAATACTCTGGTAGGGGTGCTTTTCTACGTGGACCCAAGATGTTTTTCAAAACCTACATTTTTAACGTAATTTTCCTTCTGTTCCTAAATATGAAAATGTGTTCTTCTTTTCTCTGCCATTCTGGAACCCTGCCCTGTTTAATGAAAACAAGTAACTTCCTGTTCATCTGACCAGAATTTGACATTAATGTGTTGGTTCTTAATCATCCATTGTTGTTGTTTTTTTTAAGAAAAATGGATTTTCATTACAGCACATTACTTGTAATGAAGCTTAAAGATCATGAATTTAATTATCTCTCTCCAACAGATCTGTGATTCACACAGCAGCAGAGAATCCAGTTTCCATTTTACAGGTGAATAAACTGAGGCTAAAAACAATTGTAATCGCCCAAGGTCATACAGTGAATCCATGGCCAAAGCCAAGTCAGGTTCATCAGCTCAGAGTTTCCTGGTCATTTCTCACCCATGTGTCTGAAGATAGAAGTAGAAGAAGATAGTAGACCCCTCCTGTAGGGACCTGAACACTTCACTCCCTTTGCAGGGAGGGGAGGGCAGGTAAGGTGTGTACCTCTAGGTTTAAGGGCGAAATAAAAGATTGTGGCAGAGGACCCAGCTCCCCAGACTGAAAGTGGGATAAGCAGAAGGGGGGCATGGAATTCACCAGACTCCATGTCAGGAGCCCTTTATGGACTCACTGTGCAACCTTGGGTGAGTCATCATCTCTTCATGCCTCAGTTTCCCCAATTATAAAATAGGAATTCATTTATTCATTCAATCAACAAACATTTGTTTAGTGCTGACTATATGGCAGGCACTGTGCTAGACAAGCCACAGAATGACTACAGTCCTTGCCCTAAAAGGACTCTACAGTATAATGAAGGGAGGACAGATTCAAGTAACATCCACAACCATATAGTTACAACTGCCATAAACACAGTGACAGGCAAGTGCAAGCTGCTACGAGAGGCTATTAGAGGGAATTTTACCTAATCTGAGGGTCAGGAAAGGCTTACCTGACAAAGTAACCCAAGTGAGTTGAGATGTAAAGGATGAGCAAAGTCTAGCCTTGGGAATGGGGACCAAGGGCAGGGAGGGAGGAAGAGTGTCCTAGGCAGAGGGAACAGCATGAGCAAGCTCCCACAGGCAGTGAAAGGACATGGCTTGTCCACGTTGCAGGAAGAGGCCAGGGTGACTAGAGCTCAGTGACTCAGGGAGAGACTGGCATAAGAAGAGGCTAGAAAGGAGGGCAGGCACCACGTTATACTGGATAACAGCGCACATTTGCATCCACCCATGCTTGTGATGGCGTGACAATGACACAAGCTATGAAAAGGCTTAGAAGCAGCACATTCTGTACCGACATGTGGTATCATCATCACTGTTCGAGTGGCCTCCCCGACAATGCCCCTGGCCTGTCCTCCAAGCAGGAAGCCCAGGAGTGAGTTTCCAGGGACCTTCTCCCACTGCCTTCTTGTCAGAGTTCTTTCCCAATCACAGGAGTCAGGACATTGCTGATTACAAATCCTCACACGGAACCCAAAACAGGTCTTACAAATTCTCCTCCGGCTTCTCTACTTGGCTTACTTGGGAAGCCATCAGCTGACAGCACGCGGGGGTTTCTGGGCGGACCACAGCCATCTAACAGAGAAGTGGTGCTGTCTGCTAGACACGCCCTCTGGCCCATAGCCAGGAAACGTTGGCCCACCTCCCCATTGAGCCTCCTAGGCTCTCTGCACCTGGCTTCCTGAACCATAGGTGGGAACACAAGTGAAAGTCAGGCAAGATGATGACAAGTCGAACACTCTGCAGAGTTCAGTGAAAAGATGCTGTATAAATATGAGGTGTTGTTGTTATGACTGTTGTTGCCGTTCAAACAGCTGTCTTGCCCACTTCTGGGTCTTGAAGTCATTTAATCATGGTGAGTTCCAAGGGCCTCGAATTTAAAGGTCACGGCCTCTGGCCTGTCGTACAACCTGACTCCACTCTCATTTTTTATCATGCAGGTATTTGTGACCTGCAATACAGACCCCGGGTGGGAAGTGAAAACCTGGTGAAGGTGACTGAGCTAGTCTCCAGCAGTGCCCACCGCATGGCCTCAAGGTTCAGAAGTAAAGGGACTTCTCCCTCCCTTTCCCATTGGTCTCCCTGCGTCTTGAGAACCCCTAGTCTGTGCCCCCAGCCTCCAATGTGACAGCAGCCACCCCAGTGTGTTTGCATTTCCTGCGACAACGTGGCCCTGATACCCAGAAGCCTCTCTACATAACCAGGGAGGAGCCAGGAGTCCCTAACAAACAAAGCGCGCCTACAGGGCTCAGGAAGCAGAGGGGGCGCCCTGTGCAGAGGAGTCAAGGGCGGGGGTCCAACTAAGATGCAGCTGATCCCCCACTAACATACTTGCATTCCCTGTCCAAGGACATTATCTGGAAAATAAACACATTTTAAAATAACTTTTCTCCCTGTTACTCTAAACAGTCTTTACAGTGACGATAACAATTGTTTGTGGTTGTGTTTAAAAAAAGAAGGAATGCCTTTAAAAGACTCCATTATCTCTAGCCTGGAACACTGCAAAAACCTCCTAACTGATTTCCCTCCTTCTTCCGTCGGCCCTGCGTCCAGTCTCTTTTGCAGGCAGCAGACAGAGGGATCTTGAGGAAACATGAATTCACTGCCCTTGTTAAAATGGCTTCCTTCTTCATTTCCATGAAATCAAGTGCCTCTTCCGTGTGCTGAGAGGCTGGAGTGGTCGGACGTGGCCCAACCCTCCCGCTCCATCCTAGGCCCATCTCTCCCTAGCACTCTGCTCTAGCCACACCAGCCTTCTTTCTTTTTTTTTCCTCTTTTTCTTTTTCTTTTTATTTATTGAGGTATAATTGACATGCAATATTACATTAGTTTCAGGTGAATAACACAGTGATTTGACATTTGTAGGCACTGCAAAATGATCACCACAGTGAGTCTGGGTACCATCTGTCACCCTACAAAATTAATATAATGTTATTGACTACATTCCACATGCTGTGCATTACATCCCTGTGACTTATTTTATAACCGGAAGTTTGTACTTCTTAATCCCCTTCACCTACTTCATACCCTCCCAACCCCCCTCCTCTTTGGCAACCACCAATCTGTTCTCTATATCCATAATTCTGGGTTTTGTTTTGTTTTTTAGATTCTATATATAAGGGAAATCATATGGTTTTTGTCTTTCTTTGATTTATTTCACTTAACATAATGTCCTCAAGGGCCATCCATGCTGTCGCAAATGGAAAGACTTCATTCTTCTGAATGGCTAAGTAGTATTCCATTGCATATATGTACCACATTTTCTTTATCCATCCATCCATCAATGGACATTTAGATTGTTTCCATGTCTTAGGTATTATAAATAATGCTGCAGCGAACATAAGGGTGCATATATCTTTTTGAACTAGTGTTTTCATTTTTTCAGAGAGATACCTGGAAGTGGATTTGTAGGTCATAGGATGGTTTTATTTTTAATATTTTGAGGAACCTCCATACATTTTCCATAGTTGCTGCACCAATTTACATTCCCACCACCAGTGCACAAGGGTTTCCTTTCCTCCACATGCTCACCAACACTTGTTATTTTTTTTGTCTTTTGATAATAGCCATCCTGACAGGTGTGGGGTGATCTCACTGTGGTCTGATTTGCATCTCCTTGATGATGAGTGATGTTGAGCATCTTTTCATGTGCCTGTTAGCCATCTGCATGTCTTCTTTGGAAAAATGTCTGTTCGGGTCCTCTGCCCATTTTGTAATCGACTTGTTTGGTTTTTTGTTTTTGAGTTGTATGAGTTCTGCATCTTCTGTCTGTTCTTTCAAAACTATAAGCTCAGACCTATCTCAAGGCCTTCAGGCACACTGTTCCTCCGCTCAGAAAGTTCCTCCCCACATCCTCACTTCACTTGCTCTTTCTCATTTCTTAGGACTGAGGTTAAATCCCTTTATCTCCCTTAGGACACTACCTAGAATCTGTCCCTCCTCTTTCCTTAATCTTCATACTCTGTTCTTTTCATGGTCATTTATCCTGAAATGCAATTATTTCCTTTGTGTACTTGTTTTCTGTCTGTATGTCATTACTAGAATATAAATATGAACAGGTGGGACTGCTCGCTATTGGTTTCTCTCTCTCCCCAGAACCTAGCACAGTGCCTGCTCAGAGGAGACACTCAGTAAACTTTGGTTCAATGAATGAACGAAAAAATGAACAAATATAATCCATTTACTACATGTGTACTTTATTTTAATAACCAAAGCCGATAAGGACACGTAAACTCATTTGGCTTATGGTCCTGGTTTCAGCTTCTAGCACGGAAGATGGTAGACCCATGCTCTGAACGTAGTAGACGTTCTGTTTATGTCGGGGATGATGGTCATGGTGATGATTTCATAGTGACAGCTTATATACTAGCCCAACACTGCCTGAGAGGAACTTGAACCCACCACCAGCTTAAAAGAGTAAGCTGTCACTAGAGAGTCAGAGCTTCGGGGCAATGGTTCTGTCCCATCCACTGATTCAGTGAAATTACACTAACTACACAATACAGATGGGACACACCTTAACTTCAAAGACCTGAAAAGTCCAAAAACTGGCGGAAAGTTGGGGGGGAACATGAATAAGGAAAAAACCAAAGAAGAAAGGACGAGGCACCCTAAATGCCAGTGACAAGAAGAATCCCTCTGGCTGTGGGACCATCAAGAAAGGCTTTCTGGGGAAGGTGGCACTGGGGCTGAGCCTGACTGATGGGTGGAATTTGTGCACATAGAGTAGAAGAAAAGATTCCCCAGGTAAAGGACACGGCATGACCACAGGCACAGAGGAGAGAAGACTGAAGAATGGGGCGGGGGGGGGGGGGGGCACAGATGTAGGAGAAAATAAGCCCGAAAACTAGGTTAGGAGAAAGAGTGAGGAGGCCCAAGAAGATCACACTCATCATTTTGGATTTACCTGGTAGGATACAAGCGTTTCAGCTAAGTTTTTTAAAGAAGGGATTGGCACAAGCAGAACTTTCTTTCAGGATGAAAGATCAGCTAGCAAAGCGAGACATGTCGAAGAAGGGACGGACTGCCCTACAGGGCGACCCCCAGGAATCTGTTCACTCGTACATCCCTTCAACAGATGCTTACTGTGCACCTACTATGTGTTAGGCACTGTTTGCATGCTTCAGATATATTAGTGAACAAAACAAAGCATCCCACCCTTGAGTTTACATTCCATTGGAAGAAAACAGAAAATACCCAATAACATAATAAATCAGCAGAGTACAAAGTATGGTAGATAGTGATCAAAGCTATGGGAAAAAAGAAAAAGCAAAGGAAAGCAGAGTAAGGGAATCAGGAGATGTGGAGGGTGGGGAGGGCACAGGATTCGGTAGTACACACAGGGTCAGGGTCAAGTGCATAGAGAGGAAGAGACACAAATTGAAGAAGGTGAGGGTGAGGGCCCAGCTGATGTCTGGAGTGAGGACCCTGCAGGCAGAGGAAACAGGCCGAGCAAAACCCCGAGGCAACAGAGTGTGTTCTAGAAGGAGCAAAATGAGGTCAGTGTGCCAGCAGCAGAATGAGCAAGGGAAAGGCCCAGAAACCGAGTCAGAGAGGCAAGAGGGCCTTGACTTTTATTCTGGGGGAACAGGCGCCTGTGCCAGATTTGGGGCACAGGATCTGACTTAGGTTTAAAGGGCTCCCTCTCAGCCATCAGCAGGGGCACCGTTTAGAAAGCAGTTGCAGTGCATCCGTTCAGACAGATGACAGTGGCCAGGACCAGGGCAGTGGCGGGGGGACATGGTTAAGAGGAGCCTGCGCTCTGGATCTGGATTGCAGGCACAGCTGACGGGATTCCTGATGAACCAGATGCTGGGTGCCATGTTAAGGCGGGAGTGGCCAATGACTCCAAGGTGCATAAGGCACATGGAGGTTACAGCGATTAAGGACCTTCACGAGGGCCTTAGCTCTGAGGAGCACAGGCAACCATATAAGCCATGCTGTGATATGGAGAGACCTGAGCACTCATCTGCACACAGGGATGGCAGAGGAGGAGGCCAATCCATGGCTTCATCCTACATCTTCATTGAGACTCGGCTCTGCTGTGCACGTGCAAGGCCCCAAGGGGACAAAGGTGAGCACGACCGCATGGTCCCTGACTCAACGGAATTCACTGACCGGTGGCACTCATGAAGCAAACCAGAAATGTACCTGTTATTACTTTAATTATCACGTCAATAAATGAATATGCAAATACTAAACATTACGTTAGATATGCAATTAATAAATATATAATACATGATAGGTATCACATAAAATATAAAGTAAAATAAAATATACATTTAATATCAATGTAATTTGATTTTAATAATTGAATTGTATTTAATTTTTAATACTATTGTTTAATATTTATATTAATTACTATACTACAATACTCCATGCCAACCATTGTATTCGACAACAGAGATTCAAGACGAATATATCAGAACCGGTCAGAGCGCACCATTATGATCTTGAGTAGCCAGAGCCTCGGTAGTGCTGGGAACAGAGGGCGGGAAACCAGCAGGGACAGGAGCCACCAGCCCCACCTGGAGGGTGACTCCTCCACAGGGCCTTGAAGGAGGAGAAGGCGGTGCTGTGAACTAGAGCTGAGGACGGGGTGTGAGGATGGGGTGTGAGAAAGGCAGGGGCTCACTGGGGTCAAGCCGGTGTAGACGACCCTGAGGTTTCAAGCCCGAACTACGGCCCGCCCGCTCCGCGGGGGTGAGGACTCCGTTTTGCTCACCATCGTGTCCCCAGGCCCTAGCCCAGACCCTGGGACACAGCAGGCTGGAAAAAATAGTTTCTGAATGGCTACATGGGGACGCCAAGAGAGCAGTGAGGGCTTGTTCTGGAGGACAAGTCACAGTAGGAAGGCAAGTGCGAGTCCCCCATCACCCTGCACGCAATGGCCTGGGAGGAGGAGCCGGGTGCGGGCCTCCCGGAAGCACAGCGCGGACACGCGGGACACATCCCCCACGGCGGGCACAGAAATACCTGTATTTCCTGCATGCTCTCCTCCTCTCTGGCATCCACCTTCTTCTCCACACCCTCACCCCGGAGCAAGGCTTCCAGGGTGGTGCTTTCTGAGGTGAAGCCATCCTTCTTCAGGGGCAGCTCCACTTCTGCAAAGTAAGGACAGAGAAGCAGGGTCAGGCCATTAGAAGCAGGGGGGACAGGAGGACCGAGAGAGACACTCAGGAACTGGAGCTCTGGGTAGGGCTAGAGGCGGCCTGCGCTCTCTCCTCTGGGTGGAACAGGAACCCCGGAGCTGGGTCCGGCTTTTCCGTCTCCTGCTCCCAGCCCCGGAGACAGATCCCAACCCTGCCCATACCCTCACAGACAGCAGAGGCAGAGCAGGAGGGCACCAGAAAGACCGTGACTGTGAGCGAGGCGCTCAGCGATCCCAGAGCCCTCTTCTGCATCTACAGAGTGAGGATAACAATGCTCAGTACCCCACAGGGCCGTTTTGTGGGGTATAAACATGTCCCTTTACATGAAAGTACTTTGAAAACTCTACAGCAGTACACCAATGTTCACCTCAAATCTTACTATTCTCTCCCTCTACCCCAAGTCTCATCTGGCAACTCCATGACCTGCCCTCTGCCATGCTGGCTGCCCAGCTCCGGGTTGCTCCATGGGAAGCTATTTCGACCCCAGAGAGGCTGTTCTCATCAAGGGATACAAAGACCACTAAAGCCAAGGGAAGAGAGGAGGGAGCACAGTTGCCTAACAGACCCCAGCTCAGTGGCTGGGAGCTGCAGCGCCTGCACAGCAGGGCACTTTTTCTGGAAATGTCAGAGTTTGCTCGGCTACCTGGGGCTTGAGGTCATGGGGCCAGCTGAGTAGTGGCAGCCAGAGTCAGCCCTATCTGAAAGAGATCAGAGAAAGAAGCTGAACTCCTTGCTCAACCCAAAGGAAGATTGTTTTGGTTTTTCTTAAATTAAAAACAGAAACCTCAGGTACAGGTGATCCTATTTTGATTTGCTATGAAACATTCCTCCGATCTCTCCTCTGATCCTGTACCTCATACCCCCCAGCAATCAGATGCATGGCCCCTATCCTGTTACCAGGTAAGATGAATACAAGAATATGAGGGATTGGTGCCCTAGAAAACAGCCAGGGGAGGGGAATGGCCCATGTGTATGAGGGAATTGAGAGTTGAGTGTAGGGACTATTTACAGCGGTGTGGGCAGGAATAAGGGAACTACAGGGAAAGGTGAAGCACCCCTGGGGAGTTAACAGTGGGGAGCCATTACCACTGCTGTTCCTGGAGGGACTGAGGGAGAGCATTTGCAAGAGCCTGGAGAGATCTGTGGCTTGCAGCCTCAGTGAGCTCATGAAAAAGAGAACCAAGGTAAAGAGACGCATGGCCTAACCTCTCTCTTTCCAACCTTGTCTTCCTGCTCTGCCCTCCCATTGGCCAACCTCAACTAGAAGGGCAAGGGGGCCTTATTGATAGAGCACACCAAAGCCAGCTTCCTGGGGCCCAGATCAGGGACCCCAGGATAAAGAGTGGATGGGGTGGGGGGTGGGGGGGACAGGGGAGAAATGGAAAAAACCAGCACAATCAAGCCTTGCTCTGCTGGGCTTCATTCTAACTCAAGTGGAACTCTACCAACCCTTTCCGTCTCCTCAGAACCAGATGCAGGCTGGCCAGTCCACAAAGAAGAGGCACCAGGGTATCTCATTAAAACTGAAGAAATCCACACCTACAAGTGACCAGCCCCCAGAAGAAGATGGTGGGAAGGAGAAACTGTATCTGAAGTCCCCTGAGAGACAACAAGGTCTTTGGCAAGCAGAGGATCCATCTCCATCAAGAAACATTACCACCGGGGTGCCTGGGTGGCTCAGTCGTTAAGCGTCTGCCTTCGGCTCAGGTCATGATCCTGGAGTCCCGGGATCGAGTCCCGCATCGGGCTCCCTGCTCGGTGGGAAGCCTGCTTCTCCCTCTCCCTCTCCCCTGCTTGTGTTCCTGCTCTCGCTATCTCTCTCTGTGTCAAATAAATAAATAAAATCTTTAAAAAAAAAGAAAAGAAAAAAGAAAAGAAAAGAAACATTACCACCAAATAAACCACCCCTGAAACTCATCCACACACCTATTCATTCAACAAATGTTTACAAAGAACCACTGTGTTGCAACTAGGCACCCAGGAGGTGTACCAGATAAAGACAGGCCTGGCCGCAGGTGGTTTACAATCTAAAGAGACAAACATTAAACCTGCATAAAAAATTAATACGTAATGACAAATTGCCATAAGGGTGACGGAGGAAAACAGAGTGCAATGTGAAGGGAGAATACAGTGGGGGGTTTGCTTTAGATCAGGGGGTCAGGGAAGGACTATGTGATGAAGTTGCATTGAAGTTGAGTGTCAGGAAAACAGTCCACTGTCTGCTTTAATGCATTCAGAGCGTGCAACTCCAGAGCCTGCTCTGATGACATATTACTCTTTCTCCCAAGTCAAAAAAAAGCTTGCAAACATCTAATATAAAACAATTAAAGCATGCTGCCTCATGTCCTGTCCTCAGTCAAAAGAGAACAGCTGGTCACCATCCTTTAAACTTACAATAATCATATACATATATATTTGAAGTTCGTATCTTAGTATTCCCCTTAGCCTCCCAACACTAAATAAATCCTATTTCCAGAATCGCACAGCATTTTAGAGCTGAAAAAAGCCTTACAGATCATCTGCTCTAATCATGTCATTTTATAAATGAGGAACCTGAGGCTCAGAGAAGTTCAGTAACTTCACAGAAAGCCACACAGCAGAACAAGAATGCAGCCCAGTGATCTCTTTCTTAGATGCCATTAAGATCAGGATGAGGCCCCACTTGATGCATCCTTACTAGCAGTTTGCAGGCCCAGGCTCAGCCCCAATGGGCACTGATATGTTTGTGTACATGCAGAGTGCTCGGCACACACAAAACGTTCAAAATGCGGTGGCTGTTATTGCTGTGTGTTGCTTAATCCCCACTACCACCCAAGAGGCGAGCACAGTTATTGTCCCATTTCACAGATGAGGATGCTGCAGCTTAGGGAGGTGCAGAACTTGTTTAATATCACACAGCTGTTTGGGGGCAAAGCCCAGCCTTACCCCAATCTGTCCCCACAACCCATTCACATACTCTCTAGTTTGTACAGACATTGCTTTGTCTCTCTTTGGTTCTTCCTTAAAAAGTCCTTTTCCAAACCTTTGTGCATTTCTGTTGCATCCCTATACTCTCTTCACAATTGTCATATTTCAAGATAAAAGACAGCTCTCTGCTGAGGCTTAGGGCAGGTCTGTGTCATGGTTCTGGGCTCTGCTGTATATGAACATCCCCATGTGGTGTTCACCCCTTCTGCAACAGTATTGACCCCACACGGAACTTTCAAACCACTGTGAACTTCCTCCTCCTACAACTACTCCTTCTTCCTCCCCTGGTAAATATTCCTCCATCCTGTTTTCCCATAATTCAGTCTACTCTCTTGGTCCTCTGGTCATTTACCAGATGGGCACAGTAGAAGCCCCAAGAGAGACAAAAGAACCAAATTGGGAACAGTGAGATGGTCTCTCTACATGCAAAAAGCCAGAAGGGACTTCCAGTAGCATCTAGAGTACAATTCCTCAGGGAGGAAAGTATAGCACAGCACAATAAGGAGCCTTTCCCAGGGTCACGGAGAAACTCCGTGGCATTATCCTTGTCTAATGACCAAAATATCTGATGGGCTTATAGAAGTGCTGCTTCCAGATGGCCCTGGAGTCAAGCTCTAGCCCGGCCATGTATTAGTTAAAGGACTATGGGCTAGTTCCTTAGACCTTTGAGTCTCTGTTCCCTTACATGTTAAGTGAGAATGATCAGAATATTTCACAGTGTTGATGCGAAAATGAAACAAGGTGATATGCTGCATAAAGATGAAAGATCCACAAAAAAACAGCACGGAAGCATGGAAATGGAGTGGAAAATGAAGCGTATCAATTTTTGTTTGGGTTTTGGTTTTTCTCTACAAAACTTATAATTCAAAATTAGATCGTATATGTAAAGAGCCTGGGATGGTCCAAGTGCCCTATAAATGCTACAATTTATTAGTGTCAAAGTTAGAATAATCCTAATTTTAATGGTACAGCAGCACTGACCAATAGAAATATCATGCAAGCCACTTACACAATTTTAAGCTTTCCAGCAGCCACATTTTAAAAAGAGCAACAGGTGCAATTAATTTTAATATATTTTTTTCTAACCCACTCTGTCCAAAACATTATCATTTCAACATGTAACGAATATAAAAAAATTTGACATTTTGCATTCTTTGATTTGCATTGAGTCTTCAAAATCTGGTGTTTATTTTTATACTTACAGCACATCTCCGTTCAGATAGGCCATATTTCAAGTGTTCCATAGCCACATGTGGCTAGTGGCTACCATATTAGTGCAGGTTTCTACCCTTAAAAAGTAACATGTACTATGATTTTGTTTCCCCAAAAACGGAAGGATATGGTTCTTAATGTTGCCTTTTTCATACCCGGCTGAGCACACTTCCAGGACAGCGTTCTAGCTGACCACTGGCAAACCCTGGTTTCAAAGCCCTCTGGGCAAGGCTTGCAAGGTCAGAATGACAGGCTAACCAGTGCCCTCCCAACAAACCAGCTGAGGGTACATTCCCTGGCCCCTGACCACAGGAGGTCCCAGAGTGAAGGGAAAAACAAGGTAACAGGTCCAAGCTCTTGCACAACATACGTCCTAGGCATGCTCCCTATTGAGCCCTCAGGGATTTCATTGATTGTTTTATTCTAATACATTCCATCTAGACATAGGATTTAGTCATTCTTTATAAGTGTTCTCATTCTGACCCTCGCACAAATTTGGGGACCACATCACCTGACAAGAGCCATCAGACATTTAACATTAAAAGAAAATGGTCCAAAACCCACACATAATTCATCTTTAAATTAGCCTGATTTTATACACAAGGATATAAACCCACGGATCGTTACTCTCTCCAGAGTGGCAGCAGCCGCCACCCAAGCCAGCCGCCTCCCTGGGCCCCCGTAAGGAGCTCTACCTCCACTTCTAATTGGGAACAGAGATACTCCTTGGGTGACTTCCAGCACGATCCATCACACTAGAGACAGCTTCTGTG